GGAAACCTACAGGAAACCGTCGGAAATCTGTGGGAAACCGCATCGGAAGCCCTCTATGGGGACAGATTCACCCTTTGAGCAATTACAAAAGGTTAATGCAAAGGGAAGAGAGGTGAACTGCACCATCGACAGCAATCACATCATTCCAACTAATCGTAGTATTACACTTCCACTCGCGCCCAAAAGGCAAACAAGTTCTTCCGAACCTTTGCTTTGGAGAGCACGCAGCCGGCAAGAATGCCTTCACACGGAAAGTCTCAGTGCATTCACGCGAAAACTTCTGTCGGCTTCGTTGTACATATACCAATGAATTATGTGCAGCATTAACAGCAAAGAATGAGCTAAATCAGAGTTCTCTAAAGGTTTGTGAATCTCCAAAAGAAAGAGCTAAGATAAGCTTTTCAAGTAAAAATGTTCGGTTGCGAGCATCTGCTGGGCTTTGAACCAACAGCGCAGGTCGAAGTCAGCTCGCAGCTCGCATGTGTGCAACAGCATCTTTACAACTCTTGCGCATCTCGCCAGGAAACGCAAGTGCGGGAACCAGAAGCCAAGAAACTACAATCTACAAAACTCTCTGCGTGCTCTAGCTTTCATTTGGCACTCAGACAGTTCATCTTGAGTGCAGCAAAAACGATTCTAATTTGAGCTCAAAGCCAGACGCACCTATCCGGAAAGTGGGAACCAGGTCACAGAGGAGCACTGACCTTGCAGAAAGCCTGCAGGGCCGCTTTCGAGCGCTTTTTGCAAAACTGTCGCTTGCTGGTTTTGCGAGATGACGCTTGCCTTGCAGCGCCGACGTGCTTCTGCGTGACTGCCTTCCATGGGGGCAGACTCATGCTGATAGATCACAACTGCAGGTTAGCGTCACTGTCGAAGCACGCTCAGCGGCTGCCATCGTTCTTATTACTGCACATCCGACAGTTGCTAAGGGCATTTGTGTCTTAGATGCTCTGGAAAAGGACTTCGACTTTGAAAAGCACACAGTTTTAAAATGTCTTCGTTTGCGACGGCTGCTTTGACGCCGACGCCCTCGCCGTCTCTTGTTGCGCCGTGTAAACCGTGCCCGGGTTGTGGCATGGCTCTCTCTAGGGAGGGTGTTGTCAGCTCCCACTCTGTGATAGCTACAGGCCTATGTTCAGGACATAGCACAGAATTCCATACTTTTGAGCACTTACGATTCACGGGCCTA